AGAAAACTGTGAAGAAACGAATCTTAAAGAAGACTGTGTGAAAACTTTGTTCAGTATTGGAGGTATTTATAGCAAGAAGAAGTCTGTAATTCGGAATCCAAAGTCTAACAAAGAGAATATCAGTGGTAAAAAGATTCATGATAAATTATTAAACGTTTGTAAGCATTAACTACTTGCACGACCAATTACATTTAAACAATCCAAAATTAACTAAGAAAGACCTTCAGCAAAGACAGCCAAACGAATCTTGTACTGTTTGCTTTTCCCCTATCGGAAATTATAATATTTACTTTAATCACTTTTGGAATTAGTTTTTTATCTAAGTCTTCAGGAAGTTTTTATGAAATTTTTGTATGCTGTCGAAGAGAAAGATTATGTCGATATAAAAATCTATAAAACCATTGATCAGATACTAAAAATTTGATATTTTTTGTTAAATTTGTTTTCCAATAAGTATTTCATTTGTGCTTTAATATCATTAACTGTTACGCAAATTGCATTTTGTCGTAATTTTAGAATCCATTGTTTTAAAACAAGTTCCACATCTAAGTAATATGCATGGCAACCAGTACTGATTTTTCAAGTCTTTAGACTTGCAGATTTTAATTTTTCTTTATTTTTTTTCTAACAAGAAACCATAGAATAGTCTACATTATATTCTCTTGCTGCTGTTTTTATACTAGTTTTTTTTGTATAAGAAATAATTTCTAGTTTTTCTTTTATTGTATAAGAATTTTGAACATATAATTTTTTTTTAAGCATTTTGATAAAAAAATTTTTTTTAATTTATCAATCTGGTTACAAACACTCCTTATAAAAATAAATCAAAAATAATATATAAAAAAGGGTACTTATAACCGGAAGAATATAGTATATGAAATTCCAGATATAAAAAATTCAAAAATACAAACAATTTTCAAGATATATAATAGATTAAAAAAAGAAAAAGAGATAAAATCAATAATATTATTAAAATAATTAAAACTATCAAGTTCTTTAAAAAAAAAAAAGTTTGCAAATTATAAAAGAAAAAAAAATTATTTAAGAAATATATTCTATTATTATTTTCAAGTTTTAGTAGAAAAAAAATTAATTAAATTGATTTATTAACAGTTAAGGAACATTTCCCTCCCGTTGTTGTTACATACAATATAAATTGTATTATAAAAATAACATTTTGAGTCTTGATTAAGGAAAATGTTCCATGACTATTAAGTAATAAAAAAGAAAAAAAATAGCCAACATATAAGAGATGTTATTTCTTTTACGATGTATACCTTGTTATATACAAATAAAATAAAGAAATAATGTTTACCTACAAAAAAAAAAAAGAAAAAAAAAAATAGCTTATGAAGAAATTCAAAGAAGTTTTTTGAAATAAAATTAAAGAAAGAAAAAAAATAATTAGAAATATAGAATATATTTAAGATTTTAAAAAGATTATATAACTGTAGTAATAAATTGTAAGTAATAATTTTAAAATATATTTTGAGATAAATATATAAGGATAAACAATTTTATTTATTTTTAAGATTATATATAAAGATAACTTTATCTAAGATAGATATTTAAATATCATATTTAAAAAGTTTGTATATAAAAGTTGTTAAATTACTATATATTCTATATTAAAATCAATAAATTTCATAAATATTTGTTTGATTATAGAAAAAAAATATATACTGTATATTATGATTCTGAAAATTGGAATCGAACAGAATTGCAGGGAATTGTATAAAGTTTAGAACACTATTAAAAATAATAGTGGAATATATCCTATCTATTAAATTTAATATAAACTTGAGAATCAAATACAAAATCAAAGAGAATCATTAGGATCCTTACTGTATATATACTGTATATTAAATAAATTTTATAAAATAATCTATGGGTCTGTAGTGTAGTAGTTAACACTCCACAGGTCAAATCACAAGATATCAGTTCAATCCCATATAAAAACAGCTGAATAAAATTAATATGGTATCTGGCGCCATAATCTGTATATGCGCTGTTTCTTATAAGAAGCCGTTTCACATGCTAATTCAGTGGGCATTAAAATTGTGATTTCTAGAAAAGGTGTCATGGCGTGATGATTGTCTAGTTGGTGTTACAATGATCGCCGGAAGTTGTAAGGTGTATAAGGTGTCTGTTTTCAGTAAAGATGACTTGATGATTGTTTTCCTGTGATATCTGGTATCTCTTCCTGCAAGTTTTCAAAAAAGGCTTTATTCCAATCCAGTAATAGATCACTTCGACAGTTACCTATCCTGAGAAGGCAGTAAAAACAGCAGTAAATATTGATAGCTGAAACAATCTATGAGCCGTAAGTCTATGAGATAAGTTCCTTGAATGTTCTTAGGTAGCTCTAGAAAAATGGAAATTAAATAGTATACCTATCTGCAGGTGGTCAGGTTTAAAAGGATTCTTTCTGCAATAGTTCTATTTGTCAAAAATAGGTACTACCCCAGTTCCACATATTCAAACTTCCCTTTTAAAATTCATACAGTACCAAATATAACATAATGATATAATAATAACACTAATAGGACTTTGGCATGTTAGCCTCAGTACAACCTCTTTGGAGTGACACTGACATCAACAAGCCGATATGGAGTAAAATTAATATAGTCTAGTGATGTGTAGAATTATTTATAGATAGTAGTTTCTGTAATATATGAATTACATATGTGAATAAAATAATAAAGTACGCTAGGCAAGGCCCAGCTGGTTAAACAAAAAAAAAAAAATAAATAAAAAAATAAATAAATTTCATAAATATTTGTTTGATTATAGAAAAAAAATATATACTGTATATATATATTGAAATAATTTTAATAATTTTATTATTTTCAATTATTTTATAAAAAATTAGATTTAAGAAAGTTTTAATAATATATTTTAAAATTTTTATTAAGTAAACTTGTTTTTTATATTCTCAAATACATTAATATAAATTTTTATCTTGTTTTATCAATCAGTTATTGAAATATTATATAAATAAAAATTGATATATTGTTTAATTATTTTTGATTCACATTATATATCATATTAATATTAGAAATACTAATACAAACAAGATTTATAACCTGTTATTTTTACTTAATATAAAATTCAATTAATTTTTACTTTACCTAAATTTGATAAGTTAATGTTATTTATACAATATAACACTTAACTAACATGTTTTCTGATATTTTAACTATCAATAAAGAATTGTAAACAATAATATATAAAATAAGTACGTAATTATATTCATTATATTTAAAAATATTATGATTTTTATTTAAATTAAATAAAAATAGAAAATAAATCTAAGCATAAAATCATAAAATCTCAAAATGAATTCGTATAAATAATACCATCAGGGCGTGATGCTAACTCCTATACGCATCCCTACTTTAACCAAGGTTTCAAGGCATTGTGAGGAATTCGACGTTAAGTCCTCGTCAAATTTGACCCTTCCCTTTTGCCACAAGCATATGATAGTACTTCCGCCGTAAGCGAAGTAACCTAATTCATCTCCTTTGATAACCTTGTCACCCTCTTTTGACGTGTATCGAACGGAGCCCACCAGAAGGGCTCCGATAGAGACAAACGCAATTTTGGATGAGCCCGGTGCGGATGAATGCAGAATCATCACCGAACGGACGTTCTCCGTAAAAACATCAAGGTCTTCATTGATCGCCATTGGATTGACTTTTGTAATAAAGTCGAGTTAGTTGGTACTCCGAATTTTCATTGAATATACAGTATGGATTACCAGTGAAGTAGGTTCCATTCACAAAACTCGATGAACCCACAACACCCGTGACCGGTGAGTGGAATCGATGATAATCCTGAGGTGCTAAACGAAAGATGGCGATGGAACCTTCGTTGAACTCCTTGGCCTACTCGAGATATGAAGACACACTTGGATATTGAGCACACATAAAAAACCTTCATTTGTGGAATTTAACTGATAACATACCAACTCTTCGTCATTGAGAAGTCCCGCAACCGTAAAATTTTTCCCTTTGATCCTTCCAGTTTTTGAAAATAAGGGATTTTGTGGATAATTAAAAAAAAACATATTCAAGAACTTGACATAGAAATATTACCAGTATTTCGTGGCAAGATCAATATTCTGATAAACATTGAGCCTAGAATCCGCTGCAGAAACGATCACGCAATCATTGTCCGGTTCTGAAATAACCCTCGCGCCTGGCTTTAATTTCCTGTAAAAGAATTCGTTAAAAGTTTCGTATTTACTGATATCCGGCTCCAAAAGTTCTTCGGTATTGATATTATAGTGTTTGATGAATCCGGGAATGTTTCGAGTGGAATGCGGAGAATCAAAGTATTTTCCTTGACGTCTAGATTCTGATGCGAACAATTCACGGACCATGGAAGCCTCTACAACTAAAGAATGACGGCCAATACTCAACACACAATCCGAAAAAGCCTTGTAATAATCCAGGGAAATAAGAAAATACCTCTTTCTTCCAATTTTCCGAAAAACAACAAATGCATCCCAATCCTAGCGTATACTGGCATCGTTTCCCATACCTCCTTTCCTGTCTGTTAAAATTGCGTTGAAGTTGTGGTGAAGCGTTTCAGTAAAAGTTGTCACCAAAGTTTTTTTGATAATCATGACTTGACGACATGTGCCTGAGCATTGATTTCTGACTGACCTCACGTTCAATCACAAAATTCCCGTAATGATTCTTAGCAGCAAAGCGCCTCACCGGTGGCACCAATTTGCAAAACGGGGAAATGATCCTGTATATCCATGTATTATCTGGTATCAACAGGTGGGATGGTGCATAAATGCTAGAATCGACTTTTACGAAAGCACTTGGTTCATGAGTGACAGGAAAAATGATTGGCGTCAAACTTTTTAATCGAACACAAACCATCATGCTTGGTAGTAGCGGTAATGACAGTCTGCAATGCCTAAATTTAAGAAATTCATCGGTCATTTTTGATCCCAGAAGACTAATGAACGAGAAAGGTTCATACTCTCTTCAAAGACAAATGATCATTGTTATTGTCATATTTGCGAATAGAATCTGGATCCACGTCTACGGTTTCATGACTGATATCAATGTTAATGAGATCCATGATTTTTTTTTTTTTTGAATATGAGAGAGGAGGAGGAACCAAATTTGAACGCATTTATACACCCCTTTAAAAAAAAAAAATTATATGTAACGCAAGTTACTGAATATCCCACGAATTTGTACATAGTCTAAAACCGAAATGGTCAGATGGACGGACATTTGTGAGAGGAATAAATTAAGGATAGAAAGTTTATCTATATACTATATCTTATACATGAAATACGTTAATGGATGTAAGACATAATTACATATTCGGCTGAACATGGCCTCAAATAAAACTGCGTATGCGGTAAAGAAAAAAACATTTAGGAAATAAGGAATTAATAATATTAAACGTAATCCTTAGTTAAAATTAAAAGGAATGTAATGTAATGAATATTCTTAGTAATGGTATATATATAATAAGTTTTGGGTGTTTTACCGTAGTGCAGATATTCGTAGAAAATAAAAGAAAACAAAAAAAAAATATGTGTATACTACTACTACTATTTCTTGTTCAAAGAGGATAGAAAAATTCCTACATATGTCAATTACTAATGTCATCGCTATACCATGTCATATGGTTTGGTTGATAGTTCTGCATCCAATTCATTGGCACAAGTGGTTGAGTGAAAATTCTTTGAGAGGCCGTGTGATAAATGCTGGGGTTATTAAAATTGTCGTCACCGTTGTCAAAGCTGACTGTTGTCGGTAAGGTACTAACCGATGAATTGTATGCGGTTGCAGCAGAAGGATCCAACCTAGCATTCACGTCAACAATTGTAACTTCATTGTTAAGATCAGAATTATTCACAATTTTTGAGATGTTCTCAGCCCCCGCAAAATTCGAAATTTTTGTTGCCGACCTCAAAAACATGTTCAGGGAAGAGACGTCTGATTTGATGCCGTTGTCAAATGTTGTAGGGATCTCGAATCTATGGGAACTCTCGGGGTCAGTTTCGTTATGGGATTTGACGGGTTCCACGTGTGTAACTTGCTGTTGGGTCCTTTGTTCCATCTTTGCAAGATCGCCGTCTCGTTCTCCTTTACCTATGCTTGTGCGTTTCGACCTAGAGGCGGGTGATATCTGAATCCTATTGACATTATGAAATCTCGCCAAATGTTCTATCACAGCCGCTTTACTAATTTCCTTAGCCTGTTCCAATGCCGAGACTGACTCTACGGCCATGTTTTCGACCTTTAAAGATGGTTCCTTCCGGACTATCGATAATTGCCTTTGAAATTGAATGTCACCATCTGAAAATTGATAGGAGGTAGGATGCGAGTGAGAGGACACTTGAGGTGAGATCTTTTGTTGCGGTAAAGAAAGTTGCGGCGGGAATTGTTGAGGCGGCACAGACAGCATTTGTGAATCCAACTGATTCGAATGACATTTAAAGTTCGTTTCCTCCTGAATTTCAGGTGGATTTGCTTGTGAATATGGAAAAGGAATTGGTTGCGAAGGAAATGGAATTTGTAATTGAGAAGAGGAAAGCGAGTCTGTTGGTAGATGGGAAGACTGCGTCCCTTCTTGATGAACACATTCTTGCGAGTTCGAAGGAATATGCAGATGAGATGGTGCAGAAGACGGTAATTGCGATTGCGGTGGTAACATGACATTTGCCAGGCCACCTTGAAAATTTAAGGGTGAAGGCACCATCCCCTTTTGAGGTTGTACATTGGGACGAAACTCATGTAGCTGTGTTGACGAACGTTCATTCGGGTGTGACAGTGATGCCCGTTCCGTTCGTTTTGGCAGTAGTTGTCCGTAGTGGAGCGGCGATTGTGCTGATGAGTCGGAAGTTGAAGAAGCAGCCGAAGTTTCCCTTTGATAACGTGATTGTAAGGGAGATGAAGTTAATTGTGCATTCTTCTTGGATGGTCTACCTTTTTGTCCAGGAATGTTTTTAACAGTTATCGTGCCTGCAGGATAATTGCATATAATGTCGGAGTTGGATGATGTCGAAGTCGTTATTACAGTCATATCACCTTGTGTGGACGAATTTTCTTTGTATACGGACGAAGGATCTATCTTGGCACTTTTGCAAATATCTTCGAAGGCGTTATTCAATATGGCATAAACTTTATCGGTGTATTCCTGATTCGAGCATGCTAAGGAGGCAAGACGAGCGGCTAGGAAAATTGTGTTGGCGACGCGTTGTTCGGTATCTCTTACCTTTTTTTTTTTCCTATGAAAATAGCAAAAAAAGAATGATGATCATAATCTAAACCGAAGATGGCAAATAACGTGGTTACGCTATTCAAATACCTCTCCTCGGCCAAACGATTGTAGAACCTCCGTTCGTCCCACAACAGATCGGGAAATTCTTGTTGTATGGCATTCCTTATGTCACCAGTTGACAGGTCGGAGTTAGCATGGTCAGCAATTCTTTGTAAGACGTTGGGGGGCCAAGGCGTGGGTAGATGTTCCGGAGGTATAAGGTCGTGGTTGTGTTCCGAGTGCTGCGGATTTACCGATTTTCGAAATACCCACTGGTCACCTTCCTGCTCATTTTTATACAGAACCACCCTCCACTTACAATCGCACCTAAGGGATATTCGCTTTCTTTTTGCTTCCCTCCCGACTTTCACGGATTCTGAAATACCCTCTCGTGAACAATACACGTATACGTTCTAAAAATAACAGAAATTCCATCAATGTCTCGTGTAACGAGAGTCGTGGTCTGTGCACATTATAACAACCGCGACACTCTAAAGTGATATTTAAATGAATCGACCGAGTCCAATTTATAATTGACATAATATTTCTTATTTTTCAACTCGAGTTGAGAGGAGAAATTCCGTGTTGAGTGTGGAAATGATTCGAGTTCAATTTTTTATCGACAGTTTATTCTTTGTCACACGGTACAAAATGCGGAATTATGTGACAGAAATTGTGGTGTGAAAAAGGTAACAAAAGAAGACTAACCTTGTTCGAACTTGTTTCTTGCTTGATGGTGAAGCCGAACTCCCTTGCCAGTTGCCGACAAAACGATGCGGCTTCTTTAGCAGAAGGAAATTTCAAAGAAGTGAGTTGGGCATAAAAGTTGTCCATCTACATTTCAAGATTTTTTTGTGTGTGTTAGGAAAAACATACTTCTGAAACCGTGATAAAAAGACTAATTCATGCCCATAGTTCCTAAAAGAAATGAAAAAAGGTTCAAGTTACCACGCTAAAATTTGAAACTTGAGAGTTTACTCCAAAAAAGCGAAGGGCATATAAACTAGAGATCGCGTCATGTTCAGTTTGTACATAAGACATTATAAAAAGGCCAATAACGATGTTTTCGCAAAGAGAGAAAAGAAAGAAGAAATGAGAAAAAACATAAGAAAAGAAAAATATAAGAAAATAAGTTAAGGACAAAAGGAGGGTTGAGGGAAAAAGTCGGGCTGCGATAACTACTCCTAATTTGATGATGTGCAGAGCAGAGCAAAAAAAAAAAAAAAAAAGAAAAAGAAAAATACGCTATAATATCAATAAAAAAAATTTTTTTTTTCTCAATCATGGTTGGTGGGGGTTATATAACCCCAGATAAGCGGTAATATCCATTAGATGACCATAGTCTGAGAATAAAATAAAAAAAAAAATCCTTCACTTCACAAATAACAACAGAACGTGTTTATTATTATTAAGGCTCAGCTAATTAATTAGGATTTGACACATTTTTACAATATGAAAAAAATACAGCATTCTACCTTAAAAAAATCTCAAAGTTTTGAATAGTTCGGTTCTGAATTTGATAGAATTGCCCGAATTATCCAATGGACAAATCAAAAGACAGCAAATTCAATAAAGAAAAGTTAAATTTAGATAGATTAAATTAATACAAAGCATTTAGTATTAATAATGATAATTATATATTGGAGCTTATTATTTACGTTATTTACGCATAAAGGGTAACGAAAAAAAAAAAAGAAAAAACATACTGTGTCTCTCTGATTTCAAGAAAAATTCGAATTTGGAATTCAAATAGAAGTTGCGCACCACTCAACAACAACAACTTGCTCAATTCGAACTTTTTGGCTTTGTCAAACATTACCCCATAATTTCTTACTTTCGACTTTCAGATACCTTCACGAGCCATTCCGAGGTACACTCTCACACATCGCGTTGAAACCGTTGAAGACGTGAAACCTCAAAAGATGTAGAGGAGTTAGGAAAGAATAACGAAAAATATGAAGAATAAAGAAGGTACATGTCACGTCAAGTCTCTATCATTTCGAGTATATCTCTTAAAGAAAGAGGAAATTTGTACGATTTCTTTTTTTGTTATTTCAGAAACTTCACCTTCAAAGCACCTATACAAAGACCACAATCAGCTTCCGCGAAATCTATCCAAAAATGGATACAATATTCAAAAGCGTATGTATGACGATACGATTTTCTTGATGGAATTGACATTTGATCTGCAGATTACACAACACCACAACACAGCACAGCACTTTTTCCTTCCCCTGCAGGATAATAAAGGACCTTTAGTTTTGTCCATTGTATAGAGGATTTTAAAAAGGATCGGATTTTTTAGGGGTTCCACCTATTCACTACCTATTTATGTAGGACAAATAATAGTAATAACAATAATATTGCACACTATTTAGGATTCTGTGGCGAATGAGCGAATGGTTAATTTACCATCAATTTCCCATTCTGGTATGTACGAATTTAATGTGTTTATATGTATATTTGTTTTTATTTCGGTTAAGTATTCTTTTTATTTAGACGTTTTTCCGCGAAAGTTTAACTTTAAAATTTTCCGAGGACACATATGGTTTTCAGCTCAGGTGTTCATAGGACAAGTGACCACCTTTTCTTCTAATCTTGTATCTGGTGTATGATTGTTGCTTCTCTTGTTCCGTAAATCTCAAGTTACGAATTTCCCTCAAAATGGCGCTATCCAAATCACGTGGTGTCATTTGTTTCGCTTTCACCATTTTTTCCACGGCCTTCTCGAATTTTCTTTGACCGTTGAGTCTTTTTAGCCAGCGTTTGAATTCACGTTTGAATCTCAGTGGAGTGTGTCCTTGTTCCACAAACGTGGTTGGAACCCTGAGAGATGGGTCAAGCTCCATTTGTGCAAGTCTCTTAATCAGCATGTCATATTTTAGATCACCTGGAGCGTCAACGTATTCCAAGATTGCCATTGGCGCATTGTCCCATGCCCGATTGCCTAATTTGTGGATACGCGTGTAACCTCCTTCACGATCGCGATAACGTTCCGCCATCACCTCAAAAAGTTTGGGCACGGTCAGATGAGGTTCCTACAGAAAATAAAGTTCATTCAGAATGTTGATCCTTTGTGTCTCTTTAAGAGGGAGCGATCGGCTACCGAATGTTATTCCCGATAATCTATTCCAAATTAGCACACACATAAACGTAACGCAACGCAACGCAAGCAACGCAAATTCAAAATCGCTCATTTTACTCAAGGAGACAAATGTAATCCACATTCATACCCGAAGAAATTTACATGCTAACACTTTTGCGAAAGGTTCCGTCCTCTTTCCATAGGTCACCATCTGCATGTTCAGGAGAAAAAAAACGGGTAACATTCATTTTTATGCGGAAAATTTATTTCGTCTCTTTAGTTATGCATGCGGCCATATCAAACCTTGGCATACCTTGTCCGCTAGTTTCCTCGCTTCCCTTGCTTTGGGCAAGGTGGTCTTGATTCTATCATATTTGATCAAAGAGCTGACCATGTTCCGCAACATCGCCATGCGATGTCCGGACTTACGACTAAGCTTACGACGAGCCCTCATTCCTTATTGAAATCACCGGCGCCTAACCGAGGCAATGGTATTAATTAACGGGCACTCTAGGGTGTGTGTGAAGAATCTACGTTTCCACTTTCACCGACAGTTTATAATAAATAACACGACCGCTTTTCCGTCGTGAACGTACGGGCGATGTTATTGGTTATTGATAATCAGAAGGAAAAAAAAAAAAAAAACTTGCTATATGCGTATCAATCATGTGACATAACTCAAAATGCTAATTGCACCCACTTTCTGACACGTGCCAGATAATATTAGATGCAGACACCCTTTGAGAAGCGAGTCGCCGAAACGTACGACCGAGCTCTTCGACGTGGTGAACTGAGCTTCATAGAGAGCACCGTGATCAAGATCGTGGAAAAAGACATAGAGGTATTGCTTGACGATGCTAAGAAACCATCTTCCAACCACAAGTAGCTGACATTGAAAACCCATATGTTCGCAGTTTGAATTGCGACTCTCTCCAAGTTTAGCCAAGAAACCTGTGGGAGACTTGGACAAACCCGAGGAAGCTACCCCGAAACCCAAGATTGACCCCTTTTTACCATATAATCAAGAATTATTTGTGCAAGAGCGCGGAAAGCATGTTATTCTCCTAAATAAGTTTTGCGTAATCCCTCACCATCTCTTGGTGGTTACCAAAGGTAATTTGCATCTTTTCTCAATGTTTCTGGGTTTTTCATTAAAATAGCGAATCTACAAATTAAGAATATGAGAAACAAACGGAACCGCTTAACCCGGAAGACCTGGAAGTTGTGTGGTATTGCATGATGCAGATAAAAAATCAACTATCCCTCGCATTCTATAATTGTGGCGAGTTTTCGGGTGCAAGGTATTTGATGAATATTGATGAATACACCTTCATTTAGGCACTTTTTCGTTTTTTTAACAGTCTTATTTAATTCAACAAGTCAACCACACAAGCATATGCAAATCATTCCATTAACCGATGAGTCCATCCCGCTGAATACTTACATTTATAATTCACAAGATAAGCAACCAGGCATCGTATAAACACAACCTTATATACTCCTTCTCATGAACATCTCAACCTTCATCCATTAATAAAATTGATTATTCTTTAGGAGAAATCTTTGAATTTTCCGGATTACCATTTGTTCATTATGTAGCGCTTCTTGATCCCAAAAAATTAGGTGGTTCCAAACACGGTGAATACCTGAATGAATTATATCGTTCCTTACTTGACGTTCTAATCGAAGGCTTTCGCGACCAATCATCATCGTCCGACGCCGTCTCACCATCTTACAATTTTGTGGTTACTCACACGTGGGTGATGATTGTGCCGCGACGTTGTGAAAAATATGAATATGTGTCGGTTAACTCGTTAGGATTTGTTGGAATGTTGCTCTTGAGAAGCAACGAGGAATTAGAATTTGCAAAAAAGGTTGGATTGTTAAAAATTTTGGAAAGTGTTGGGATACCAAGGGAGCCGAGTGTGTAACACTCGTGTGACACTCGTGTGATTATTTGTGTGAATTTTGTAAAATACTTGTAAAAATGATATCTATTTTTTTTAGTGTAATTTATTTATTTTTAAAACTGATATCTATCAGTAATGACGTTTGTCCGAGCGTCCGTCGAGAAATGAAATCATCAATAATAATAAAATAGGGAAGGTAGAAATGCTAAATGGAATAGGATTATCAAGATATGTGTTGTGTAACAATGGCGACTGAATGTAAATATTTCGAGAACAATCCTTGACAACGATGTTTCGTCATATTATGTACAATCAATTTCATTCTCCACCCATCCCACTCTTGCATAAAGAGCATTTTCTTTCTTTGACTCAACTTCATAATAACAATAATGCCAAAATTGGTAATGTAGTCTTGGAAGTGATCTTTGTTCACGATGAAGCACTCTAAAGTTGAACGCATCTATGGTTTCTTGGTCAAAGAATAAGGAGGTTATTGTTTCTTTTTGATTTTACATGCGTCAAATTACGCAAAGGCAGACAGCCAATCGTAAGATTATTTTATAATGCACGGAAATCAAGATTTGTGCATAGATTAAATTTACCGAATATCTTTACCATTTCAAGTGTTACAGATTTTGCAATTGAATTTTTCCAATTCGGGATCTTCTCATGTACAGATGAGAGAACTAGCACACAAGAAATACAATACAGTTAACGAACTGGGAACTATTTTGTGCTCGTGCATAAGAGTTGGGGATTTCATTGTATGTTGTTTGGGAAAATGGCTAACTTGACGTTCTCGTAGCGAAGTTGAAACCTCTTGGACCGGGTAACAACGTTGTAGGCCACTTATGTATAACAGGGAAGGTGTGGTCATACAATAAAATGCGGTGACGACGAACCTACGTGTCCAATTATGTATTTTTGACCACATGTGTACCAGTTACACGTCATAATCTGGTTGGCAAAGGTTTTTTTGATACATCTAACATAATGAAAAAAAAGATATATATACGCCATCAAAGGTCAACATTTCTTTGCAAATTCAAAATAATTCTAATCATTTACTCTTGGAAAAAAAAGATACAAAATGTGGAAAACTCTAGTTAATCGCGCTTCTTCTATAGTGAAGAAACGTAACTCAATGGGTGGCCAAGAGAAAGTCCAAAGCTCCTCAGGCGGCAAGGAAAACGGTATCATTTTTTTCCGTTTTGTCGGGTGGTTTTTTTTCTCCCAAGTTCAATATGTCACGTGATATATATCTACTTTATATTAGAAAAATCTACCCTGAAGCCAGTTGCCAAAAAAACATCGCCTAACAACGTCAAAAAATCCGAAGAACGACCCCATCATATTGGAGAATCAGAAATAGAACGCAATAAGATTCATGATCCCGATGAGCCTGATATTGATAAAGTAGTGGTTAAACAGGGAGAAAGACCAGATCCTGCTGCGTAAGTTCCCAAAGAAAATTAAGCTAGTAATCGAATATGAACAAACAAAATTGATTTTTTTTTTAATGCAAACAATTTTAGTAAATGTGCAGCAATCGTAGTTGCCGACGAATTCAAAGGTCATCTTGACCTTACAGGTGATTATTGGAATCATTGAATTAAAGAACCTTTCGACATGTATCTTAATCTTTTTTTTTTTTTTTCTTCATCTAGATTACGATTTTTCAAAAGTCGACTCATACGCACGTGCCACTCCTAGTTCAAAAACCGACAGTGTAAAACATTTAGCAGAATACCTTATTGCGCCTTGGAATAATGAATTGGATAGGTTACGAAGTCTCTTCATTTGGATCACCGAAAATATTTCTTATGATGCCAAGGCTTACTTCGAAGGTAATTTCAGAGTCTTGTTATACTATATCATGTGATCTTGACGTATAATTTCTTTTTTCTTTTGCACGACAGGTAACTTCCACCATAATGGACCAGAAGATACATTAAGAACCCGCAAAGGTGTTTGCGAGGGATATGCTGGATTGTTTGATGCACTTGCAAGTGTAGCTGGCCTTAAAGTTTGGAAAATTTCCGGAAAAGCAAAAGGTTTGCGCTCATCATTTCACTTTTTCTTTTCTTAAAACAAAAGATACTGATAGACAATTATTTATAGGTGTAGGATATAATCCTGGTACTTCGATCGACGGTCCACAATATGCTCACGCCTGGAACGGTGTCCTCTACAAAGGCGAATTCTTATTGATTGATAGCACTTGGGGTGCCGGTATTCTAAACGGTCAACATTTCGAAAGACGATTTGAACCATTCTATTTTCTTTGCAAACCCACTCAATTTATCTATAGTCACCTCCCTGACGATCCAAAACAACAATATGTCTCGCCTCCGCTCACTCAAGATGAATTCCTAGATTTGACTTTTGTCAAACCACAATTCTTCGTCTCAGGACTACAATTCCGTAATCATTATGGAAACGTGATCGTAACTGGTAACGATCAATTAGAAGTAGAGATCGCAAGATTCAGCCCAGACAAAGGAAAACCTTTGCATGCCGTGCTTGAATGGAAAGGAAAATCTATACCGGTGATGGTTCAAAGACTTGTAGGATACGGAGATGGGAGTGGCGGTAGAGTTTATAAATTAAACGTTGCATGTCCAAGCGCTGGAGAGGGAAAGCTTGAAATATATGTTATGATAAAGGGTAATTCGGTATGCATTTATGTATTATCTTCATTTCTTGAATTTTTCTATTTGACAAACCATCACATTTTCTTGACCGTTAAAATTTCGTTTCAAAAAGGGTCCATTGGTCTCCTCACTCAAGGTAATAAATAAAGGTACTGGATCCCATCACCTCACTTATGTGAAGACTTTTTCTGTCCCATTCTCCTACACCATTCACACTCCGATCCACTCAAAACTCCATCTAAACAAACCCGATGCCAAAACAAAATTTGAGTTCAGCATATTCGATTTACCTGAAGACGAACATCCTACTCTCTCATTGTTCACGCCCGCGAAACAGATCAGGCATTTGGAAAAGGTTTCAAGGTGTGATGATGGTAGTGTCACCTATGCTCTGGAAACCTGTGTAGATCAAAAGGGAGAATGGAATCTCGTACATTCTGAGAAGAATTCTTCCAGTTTCAACTTTATTGCTCAGTATGTTGCAGAGTAGTGTCATGGAGTGTTCCGCAAAGATTTAAAATATTTACACACACAAAAGAATTTCTATTCAGATTATTTATTATATCATATAATGCAATATCTGTATATCACATAAAATGTACACTATCCCTTTGAAATAAAATTCATTCAAAAATTTATTTATTTTCTATTATTTACTCCAAAGTCATTATGGATTATATGTGATAAAAAATTTATAGGTCGTCGACATAATCGACACGAGTAAATATAACCATTTTTTGATCACACGTATAAACAAGATTATCTCTAGTTCCCTATTTACTATACTTAATATAAACCTATTTAATAGTGGCATTCACTACACTAGGAACAGTGCAAAGGCCATTCTGGGTTTTCAACAAATGAACACTTTTGGTCTCTTGGTTAACCCAGGATGCTACTTTTTCTGTAGTTGTTATTAACCCGGGTTGCAAGGTTTCCCAAATTTTTTTCTTGGGATTCAACAATGGTTCTGGGGTACCTTGTAATTAAAATTATTTGTTAATCTAGCATCGAACATTATATATATATCCTTATTTTCGCGTACCTTCATGTCCTTCAAAATATGCCCGGTCACCCGGTTTTGAACCTTTCGGTGGTTCAATAAGTTCGACCTTACCCTCTGCTGAGGTTGCCGCAAGTACCATCGCATACGATTTAACACCACGCATCCTATATTATTCGTCATTAAGTGAAAAGACTTGTTGGAAATCATGCGAAAAGTCCATTTTGACAACAAATAACTGAGCGAACTTACGCTGCGGGCTTCAAGTTACACAACAAGACTACATCACGATCCTGTGTAAATTATAAGAATGACACGCTTAAATATTGCATGATCGTTTATTCAAGTATGAAAAATTGAAAGTAATACAAGCCTGGATTTGATCTATTGGGATATGTTTAACCAAACCACTAACAACTGTTCTCGGTTCTGCTTCGCCAACATCAATTTGTTCGACGTATAAAGAATCTGCATCCGGATGTTTTTCAGCTTTGATAATATGGCCAACTCGCAAATCAAGCAATTGAGGAGAAATCGATGACGTAGATGTAGTTCCTCCAACTTTTATAGCAGCCGAATCACTAGATTCTTTCTTTTTCTCTTTTTTATCCGATTTCTTGGTGGTTTTCTGTGCTGAAGGTGAAACTTCGGTTGTTTGACCTTTGTCACCAGCTTTTGTCTTACCAGGCTTTGTTTTCTTTGGTTCAACTACTTTGACAATCTGACAAATTACCGTCATTGATTAGCCATGTAAATTATAAAATAAATGACCGATGACTATAAATGATACCTTTGGTGCATTTAAATCAATCTCAACGGCATTTAAATCACAACGAGGACCTACTTCTACTACCGCAGTATGTTGGATAAAGTCGAACCAACGCGTCAAGTTGGGAACCCCAAAGCGTTGTTGAACAGACAAGCTAGCCTAAAGTTGAATTGAAAAATTAGTGCTAATACCTATATCTAACAAAGGCGTGAATTAGCTTACAAAAAAATGATGAATTCGTGAAAACGCAACTAAATCTGCCACCGATAAATAATTTCCCACAATAAAGGTTCGAGTAGCCAGATGTTTATCTAGAATCTGTAAAATCAACAAAGGTCAGTTTTCAGATATACAGTATATTGAAACCTGTTTAGAAGGATCATAACAAGCATTACAATAAACTTACCCCAGCAACTTCTGATAAATTCTGGTCGACCGAATGTGTAGCGTCCAGCCATTTTTGAACCTAGGAACAACAATATACAATGCATTATCCAATTGGCATCATGGCAATTGCAGTGATCCGTTTAACACTGATAAATTGGAATTAATAAAAAACCTTCAACATAATAAATCGGATTAGGATACAATTACAAATACGAATATGAATATAATGCTTTCATAAAAGCTCACCTCGGCAACGTCATCAGAATTCTTGGCCCCAATAGAATTTTTACCAAAATTCTCAACCAAATAACTAATCACAGAGTTTGAACCTGAGATATTTCTTCCGTCTGATAATGTCAAGGAAGAATTCTGAAATAAATAAGTAACGATAAACCATATCTAGGTATTGTAACAATGCTGTTAATTATCTATTTACCTCTGCACTAGACTCCTGAACACTAATTCCAGAAGATGAAGAGGCCAAAAAATGATATACGAGTTTTGTACTGTGATCACTAGTTGAGATTGAAAGTGTTGAAGCCATCATAAAATCTTGATTGAATGAAAAAAGTCTTAAATCGTCAATCACATAATTACATGCTGCAAATCATTATCACGTGATTTATTGCAAGTGCTGGCACATAAAATAATAATATACTTGTTCAGTACTCTTATAAAGTAACGCCCAATTTTTTAAAAAATAAAAAAACTTTATTTACATGATCTTTATATACTGTATATCATGTTAATATTTTGTTACCCTCCATATTGTATTTATTCTTTTAGACATAAAGACCAAGAATTTTAATAATTCAATGAAATTTTGTATTTGGTTCTCAAATTTATATTAAATTTAATAAATAAGATATATCTTATTATTATTTTTAATAGTGTTTCAAATTTCATGATTTTAATTTTTGAAACTATAATAAAGGTAATAACATTTTTAAAAATTTGAAATTTGAAATTTTCTTGTTTTTTTAAATATAGTTTTTAACTTATTATCTATTTTTAAAAAATTTTTATACCTCTGAATTTGATCCTTAAAAATAATTTTCAAATGTTTTTTATCAAGTTTAAGTTTAAAAAATTGATTAATCAAGTTATAATAATAATTATTATTTTTAACCATTTTTAAATAATCTTTATTATATATTATAGAGTTTTAAAAAGTACTAAATTAGTATTAAAATAATATCAAAATAGTATTGATCTATAATAAATTTAATATATAAGTTATGATCTACTTATATAATTTTATAATAAATTTAAGTATCAAATTAGTAATATCAAAGTGGTATTATTAGAAGCCCCAATATATTATAATAAAATAAATAACTTAATTTTATTTTATTTATTTTTTATTAAATTATTTCTTAGTTTATTTTTAATAGTAATATTTATTTATTTATTTATTTTTTTTTTTTTGTTTTCCCTAGCAGGTAAACATCATTTCTTTATTTGTTATCATATACTGAATATATATATATTTGAGAAAGAAACAACATTTCTTGTGTACATATTGCATACAACAAGTTAAATGCTAGCTTGCCTACCGATCACTATCTGATTAATATTGTAAAAAATTTTAAAAGCAATATTAAGGTATCAAATAGTGGAGTAGCGGCTATGCCTATCTACTTGACAAAGTTTTGTGAAATCTTTTGTTTTTTTTGAATATAAAATAAATGAAAAAAAAAAACAACTATAGCTACTGCAACTAAAACTAAGTCACCTA